GTAGTAACAAGAAGCTACTAGGAACAAGTGCATCGCTACTAGTAACACGACGCACCTGAACTGAAAGGCACGTGTCAAAGATCAGGTCAACCGCTTGGATGACACCTGCCTGGCTATCCGACCCGACATCAAGCCCTTTAAGCAAGTTCTGGAGGTGCACCCGTGGCTTTGCGCTTCCTTGCCACTGTTTGCCACTTCATGAAGTGAGAGGCAATCAGTGTCAGTTTTCGAGCTGTTCCTTGAAATCTTAGAAGGCTCCCTGGCTCCAGAATCTTCAGGTGCTTGGCAAGAATGGTGGAGTAGAGGCCAAGGCTTTCTCCAACAACCCGAAAATCAAGCCAGAACCTGGGCTGAGATCCAATGGGTCCATGGAGCGACAGCGTTGTTATGGTTGACCATGACACACAGGTGGGAGGTTGGATTCCCGAGAAGCTTACGCGCACAGCCTCTGTCCGACAGTCTCAACAGCGGCAATTGCGGCGGTCGAAAACCACTAGGGGTCGTCCTACATGGGCATTAGGGCGCGCCAACGCCTGGGCCCCTGTGATGGGCCGTCGATTGATGAACCTGATCAGATCCTGAATCACAACATTCTCAAGATCAACCGGATAACAAAGCCTCATTTCCGAGAAGCTTAAACATATATTATACATATATATTATATTTTTATATATGTATACATATTCATTTACATTTTTTGTTTCCTATTTGCCCTGGATATCCTGCACCCACATATGCTGGCTGTTGTGCTACCAGGCGACTTGAGGTGAGCAAAGAAGTAAATATGACTTGTGCAGCTCAGGACGGCTCCATTGATGGAGGAAAACCATCTGAACTCAGATCTTATAAGCTGTGTCTCGGCCTATCCAGTCTGGCTTGAGAAGAGTTTTCAGACGGTTTCAAAGATCTCGACTTCCAGCCAAAGGCCCTTCTCCAGTTGCAAGAGGGTTTATGCTTATTTTCATCGGATTTTTGCATGTGAATGTTGTGGTCTCGAGTGGCGGCCCGCTGTTCTGATTGTCGAGTGTTGGCTTCATAAGTCGCGTAACGGCAGCTTGTCAAGGTCCCCAGATGGCTCGTACACCGCTGCCCACTACCTGCGATCGGGCAAGTTTGACCTGTTGAAGTATGAGGAGCCTGGGAACAGACTTGGTTGCAATAACAACTTGGGAGTCAAGTCGCGATGCCCTTGCTACTAGTAGCTTCTTGTTCCTAGTAGTAAGGCTAGGAGCCCCTAGTAGCGTCCTGGCTCCTAGTAGCGATGCCCCTTGCTACTAGTGAATTTCACAGAATCTGAGCATTGAAAGGGTGCATGAGTTGAACTCTTGTGACATCCTGCAGGATGGAAGGCTAGTGGAGTGCGACTACGTCAAAGTCTCAAGTTTATCCTACTCTGTTGATTGCACACAATTGCTGGCATATATCTTACACTAAAGCAATGAGCACCATTTCACACATTTCTGTCACACATTTCTGGCAGTCTAGACAGAGATGTGGGTGTTCCAAGAAAGACGAATTGCATGGCTTGCATTTCAGCTTGATTATTGAAACAAGATATGACCGTCCTCTCTTGAATTATCCCTTGTCCACTTTGCAGGGCGGTTGTCCTGAGGATCCGAAGACAGGACACTGGGCAGGCTATGAAGCAGCAGCAGCGTGATGGGAAGGCCAGACGTTTGGCCATGCTTGGTGTGGGGGCAGATTCTGCTGATACCAATCATCCAAGTATCAATTGTAACAGAATCTCGACAATCCACTGGGATCCAGAGCAGGACTGCCCCTCACCCTCTTGCCAACTCGGTGTCACAATCAGCGCAGCAGGGCTCTTCCCAGAGATCTCGTAAAAAAGGCGTGGCTGTTGACAGAGAAGGGAAAGCGACACAAACCTTCGAGTGGTTTGATTGTGTGGCATCACAAGAATTTATCTTCAGGGCATCGAATCTGATAGTATGCAGATGCAGGTGCTTTAGAAATTCTTATACACTGTATATCATATATCTGATAAGGTCCTTGATGGATCACGACAAAGCTGTCCTCCCGACACAGTGTCGCACGGACTTTGTCCTCGTTCGTGATAATGACAGAGAAGTGCCTGTAGGTTCTTACATCTTGCTATTAGGATGGAGGCCATCAATCTTAGGTTGGAGGCCATCGCTAGTAGGTTGGAGGCCATTGCTATTACGGAGAAGTGCCTGTAAAACTGTAGGTTCTTCTTCTTACGGTTCCGCAGCAAAGCGAATCGCCACCTGAGGACACGCGCTCCAAGCTTCGATGGCCTCATGCCCGGAAGCCCCAGATGTACAAAGATTCATGGCCAATCGTCTATATAGTCTACTCTAAAAGCCTGAACAATCAACATCCAAGCCAGTTTGTCAAACTCTGAAGGACTTGCTGAAGATGCTCTTAGACCTACTTGCACCGAGGCGCCTCTCAAGTACTCGCAGCCTAGGCTGGCCCTTTTAGAATCTGAGCAAGCTTCATTGGAGACCATTTGCTTTGTTTCCGGCAGATGGCTTCTCCTTTTATGATGATTCCAAAGCCCTAATGAATCCTACTACTACTACTACTACTACTACTACTACTACTACTACTAGGTAGCTCCCATCCAATTCCATTCACTTCTCAGTGGATGATCATCCTAGCTTGGCCACTCCTCAAGGTGGTGCCAGCTCACCCCTCCTCTCGGTGCTGCGCCTCTTGGCCAAGCCTGTGAAGGTGCTTCCAGTGTACTTGGAAGTCTTTGAAGTTGGAAGAAAGAAGGTCATATAGTTGCTGTTTTTTTTGTTTCTTTGCGCTTTTCTTCAGACTATTCTTTTTACTGTATCTTTTGCAAACAACAGCCGTTCACTTGGTCCTTCTTTGACAGCTTTTGCTCCAAGCCAGGAAATTGGGTGACATTTCTTGCCCAAAGATGAAAGCAGCCTGACAACGCTAATAAAATTTCGGGGATCATTGTTACCAAGCAAGGTAGCTACATGCTATGTAGACGTAGAGAAAGAGGAACGAGGACAACAGACTTCAGTACAGGGTGCGTTCATGACCACTTTGCAAATGGGACAAAACAACTAGACCATCAGGCTGCATGCCTGCGACATGTCGCCATGACTTCCCGGAGCAGTTCCTCAGCGGACTCTTCCGATGGACCCGGATCGGACCCCATCAGCCCACCAAATGCGGAGGACAAATCCTCAGATGAGGCGCTTGTCGAGCTGGCCGAGCCTGTCGATCCAGAGGATGCACTCTTGGATGAAGCACCGGAAGTTGAGAAAAAGACCTCGGAGGAGGTTCAGGGTGAAGATGCACAGCCAAGAGGCAAGGTAACGTACAGACAGAAGTCCAACAGCTTGGAGGATCCGGAGCCAGACTTTGGTGAAGCTGACCAAGGTGAAGCAGACAATGGAGAGAATGACGTGCGTGATCCTGTGGCAGTTTTGCAAGTTTTGTGTTTTGGGCTCCTGCCTTCCACTGTTGGTTGCAAGTTTTGTTCTCATCATCTCTCATCCAAATCCAGCGAAGGTGAAAATGCTCCCTTCAGCAGCAGTTCTTACTTCGAAGATGCGCCAGATGATCCCGACGGAAATTGGTCATTGGAGTGGCCATTAGGCATGCCCATGGGAAGCCAGGGTGAGAGTCTAATGACTCAAAGCCTTTTTGAAAGCCAGCTCGCTCAAGAAGATGGTGCTGAAGAACTTGTGGAAGTCCCAGAGGTTGGGCTTGCAACTCGGCAAGTGCCTTGCGCCCAGGCAAGGCTTTTAGGATCGAGCAGTACTTACCTGATTTCTATGCAAGAATTTTCTAAGACACAACAACGGAAGGAGTGAAAGAGCAATGGTATGTTTGTTGGCATGGCCCCAAATTGATGAACAGTTGTCCCAGAACTTTTTGGCACACAGAGTGAAGCACGTCAAATTTGCTGGACATGGTTCAACATGGGTGGGACCACATACAATCCGTGTCAATGCTTGTATCTCTGTCAGACCTCCCGTTTTTGTCAGACCTGGTTGGTCGCTGGTCCTTCTGTCTCCACCTAGATCCTCAGAGGGCACGTTGAGAAACATTCCACTCTGACCCGTGTGAGGATGAGCCACCTGAGCCACCTGAGCCACCTGAGCCGCCTGAGCCGCCTGAGCCGCCTGAGCCATTGTCGCCGACCGAGATGTATCAGCCCATTGAGGAAGACATCGACGACGTGAGGATTTTTGTTGAGGATTCTCCGAAAGAGGTCCCGGTCTCGAAGTTCCTTGGCATGCTGAAGGTTGTCGGGCATCCGAAAGAGTCTCGCTGTTTGGGCACTCTTTTGGACAGCCCGACAACGATTTTTCACCTCCGTGAAACTCCAAACGATCTGGCCTCACGTTTGGACTGTCCATCCAAACTCGATCCATCGATCCGCGTAACACGTTTTGTTGGGAGGCTTGGGAGCGTTCAGTTTGCCTTGGGCTCTCGCGCATCCTTGGACCATGTCTCCGTGAAACCCAGTCGCCAAAGCAGCGAAGCAGAGGCGAAGCATCGTTTATATTGGGTTCTGAGAACATACTAAATGAGCAAAACGGTTTGGACAATCCCTGCATCAAATGATCAATTGTGCGTTTAACTCCACACAGTTGGACTAGGAGCTGGTTGGAGCCGTATTTACAGTCAGGTCTATGACAGTATGGCCAGCGGGACACTGGTCAGCCCTAAAGCGTCCAACGACTTGAAGCACCTTGGCAAGTCTTGAAGCGCCTTCAGTCAGATTTTGCGTGCCAAACACCTTCACAGATGCTTCTACAAACATCTGAGAGGTGTTTGCCCGTGATCCATTGGAGCTGTTTGACTGAGCTCTGTGGTCTGCCTGACCACGCCCTCCAAGGTCACGCTTCCGGCAGTCGCGGGTGGTGAGTCAAGCCTTGGGGACTCTGGATATACGGAGGCACAGATGTGTCAATACCAACTGAATAAACTGAGCACTTGGCAATGACTTTGTGCATTATATTTTGTATTTGTGGGTTCAAGTCTGCCTCATAGATCAGAGTGATTAGATCGATTTACATTTTCAAGACAGATCCTGAAAATGGCCATGCCAGGACCGTCGCTTCTCCCATGGAAGGTGGCTTGAAGAAGTCCTCCGCCAGGATGTGGGTTGAGCGTTGAGAGATTTCATCTAACATTGTGCATAGGAGACGTAGATAGGATATGATAAGACTTCAAGATGATGTTCTTTTTTTTCGACAATGTTTGCTACATTTTTGCGCTGCTGTAGGCAGCGCTTCTCATTTGTGCCTTTCAACGCCTTTTGGTCAGTTTGTTGACCAGCCCAACATCCTATGACCGATCAACGGACCTTCGATGACTCTCAGCTTGACACGGCCCCAGGATGATGGCAAGCCCTGCGTCCCGAAACTTTCGAGAACTGGTTCCCAGTGCGGAGCGAGCGCGGCGAATGCACGAGCTCTATGAGAAAGAGGGCGAGGCGGAGACAGGCCGGGCATTCCGAATGCAATGTGTGTGGAATCGGACGGTAGGATTCTACTTCGGGAGGGGCAGAGTTGGAGTCGGATCAGGCTCGGGAAAAAGTTTCAGAGCTGAAAAGCAGGTAAACAGTTTGGACTGTGGACAATTTTGCATCTTCAGGTGAGAGCCCGCGTGGGGCGAGCCTCCGTCACATGCGTCCGGTGACTACTATCAGGCCACCTCGCACCAGGCGAAGCCTACATTCCGCCAGATTTTGACTCCTTTACTCAATTACTGCTAGTTCATAGGACTGCAATGGCCATTTGACTTGTGGCTTCTCAAGCCTCCCAGTCCCAGTAGCTAAGTTGTTCGAGGCCTGTTCCCTGGGTGGACCGAAGGGAACACTTCGGAGAGGTGCGAACAGCACAAATGGATTTGGATTGGGTTGCTTGGTCTCCTAAAGCGGCGTACTTGCAGTCAAATTGAATACAGCAAGAGACAAGCAAACAAAGAAAGGAACAACATATATAGATAGAATTGATTGTTTCTCTGTTGACTCAGGACATGGAAGGGCACATCCCACAGGTCTCAGAAGCAGCGCCGGGGTTCTTGTCGGCTGCGCACTTGCGCTCAGAGGAGTACTGGCGTGATTTGTTGGGACTCGATGACGAGCATCAGGCAGGGCCAGGGGCCAGGGGCCAGGGGCAATCATGGTACGGCAAGGAGCGATGAGCAGTTGGAGAAGCTTATGCGCCAGATGAAACAAAAGAAGAAGTAAGACAACATGCATACTTCTAGTTTTGCGTGTCGCACCTCCATTTTCTTACCTCGTTTGGTTCTTTGCTGCCACCCAGGCCCCATTCCAATGCAACTTAGCTTGCATTTGTCGGTAGACCCCATAGCTTTTTGCTGGCACTGCAATCAACAAGCCTCGGCAAGGAATCAATATTTGGAGGCAATGATAGGTGGCACAGATTGGAGTACAGCATATTGTCTGTATCTTACACTAAACTAAAGGATCAAATATAGTCGAATCATCCTTTCACAAGTTTCACTAGAGTTGCTGCTCTAAGAGGCGTTTCTTGTGCCTCCTAGGCGTGCAAACAGAAGCCTGTGGGAAGTTCATCGCTGCCTGCATCGTGATCTTCGTCCTTGTGGTGGGGCACCATGAGACCCATGAGCTCCCAGCTTGGGGATTTCAGATGGTCCACCTCATCCTGGCAGTGAGCTTCGTGGAAATTTGCCGCGGGGCAATGTATGAAGTTAGAGCCTGAAAAACAGCCGGGTGAGCCATTTAGGTCGATACAGGACATCGGCACAACTTATGAAGCTGAGTGCCCCTAAACATCTAGGAACCAAATCATCAGTGCGTGAGCTATCCTGCAGCCATATGTAGTAGCGTCTCAGTAGCTAGGAGTGTACAAGTTTACAAGTTTGCCCCTTACTTATTTAACTAAGTAGGCGCCTACTTAATTAAGGAAGGAGGCAGGGCCGAGTGGGCTAAAACAAACACATCTCAGGTATGCACTTGGTGAATCATCATTATGGCGCTCCTTACAAAAAGCCAGAGGACCGAACCATCCTCTTCTTGGACACCATAGCCGTCTTCGTCTCCTGTGCAGAGCTCTGGATACTTCCTCGGGTGCTAGGCCAGGAAAGTGGAGGGAGCTCCAAAGTGCTTGAACTTCCGAGACCCTACAAGCAATCTCCTCCACCCTAGTAGCTTCTTGCTACTAGTAGCGTCCTTGCTCCTAGTAGCGATGCCCTTTGCTCCTAGTAATTAGCGTCGTTTGTAAACCAATTTGTGTGAGCAATCTTTGGTTCACACAGACCCTCCAGGAGACATCTCTAAATCCATTCTCGCTGGAAGAATTATGGCAGTCTTGTCCTTGCCCCATAGGTGATGCACTGCCATTCTCGAGAATGGTTTGGCTGGTTCGCTTTCTCCGAGTTCTCAGTATGATACCTTCCTTGCGAGAATTGACCTTGGGCATCATGGACGCTCTTCATGGTCTGTTTTGGGTCTCTTGGTCACACAAACTTGCAGATCCTAAACGATGGATATCAGTATGGGTATTGACAAATACCCAATACGTACATCCTGCCTGCATGTGGATGAGTGTTGAAGGGACACCTTCATCTTCGTAGCGACCACATGAGGATCATGTGAATTGAGATGCTTGGTCCAATGGACCTTGCGCCAAAAACTGACCTTGTTGGGGAGACGAGCACCAAAAACTGATAAGGCTCGCTTGCAAAGAAAGCTGCACAGCAGTTTTGCAGTTTTGCCCAAGGTGTGCTGTACCAATGTAGATGTTCATGAATATTGGTATGTACTTGAGTCATGCAACACGAAGCAGTGCATTGCAATAAACAGTCACGTGTGTCATTCTAGCTTTACAAGAACTGCACCAGTGCAGACCCATTCTTGAGGCGCACATATGGTTTAGGGTATAGTTCTGGGTTGCTTTTGGGCTACTTGTTTGGTCCAGCAAGCACCAAGGTCCTCATCTTTCTATTTATTTTTGTCTATGCTTTGGCCGTAGTACTAACCCGCATGGTGGGCCACCATCGGCAGTCTGACGATGAAGATGTGCAGGAGGTCATCGACATGTTCTCCAACGTTGGTATCTTGTCACGTTTTGGTCAAAACTCCACCAATGTTTGTTTGGCCTGTGGCTGACCGGTTTGTAGTGGGAATGGACATAGCTGATGGGAGCGTTTAAAGACTGCTCACAAACGCGCACTTCGATTCGCAGGGTTGACACAAAGGGCACTGATGGTCACAAAGGAGTGCAAAAACCTTTCAGCATCAGTGAGCTTGAGCAGTAGAACATATTGATTTGGACCAGCTCAGGCAACAGTATGTTCTACCTTTTCCAGCTCACAAGTCAGTGGAGCCTCGTGCCGCTGTTCCCTCTATTGAAGGCATCACCACTGATGTGTGTTTGCTTTACTCTCTTCTACATCTACAGCGGATGGGTCATTGTGGCTGTGATGACTGGCACTGTGAGCTTTACGATGATCTCCTTCAAAGAGCGAATGGTGCAGGATGACGAATCAAGAGAAGAGGAGAAGAGGGAATTTGTAACCACAGTGCTAGCTGATATTTTCGAGCAGCTGGATTCAAATGGAGACGGAGAATTGGACTACGAAGAGTTTCAGGCCCTTCTCAAATCCAAGGAGGTCTTAATCCTTCTGTCTGAGAACACCGACATCAACATCCAAGATTTGGAAGATGCTGAGCCAATATGTCAAGGATTTCTTTCATGACTTGGATGTATGCCCTTTTCTAGGGAAGCCGCCTCTAGCGATTGTTCTTTTCTGTAAAGTTTGAGGATATGTGGCAATGGCTTGACACAGACAAGAGCGGGTCGCTGACCATTGCAGAGTTTTTTGAAGGCTTCGAGATGCTCAACGAGCCCTTCCAGCAAAAGCGCCTCGGGCTTGCAATTGAACAAGTATTTTGCCAATATTCTTGAAGCCTTGTCTCGCACAAGCATTTGGCCTTATCACGTATTTCTTGATAATCCCTTTTGCTTGTCAGTTTGAACCCCAACATGCTCAAGACACGAGTCTATTTGTCATTTGCCTTCATACCGACGTTCCGTGGCTGCAAGCAATATGGCCGTGGAGGACTTTGCTGCACGTGCAGGAACGGGTCTCGGGAGAGATCCACAACAAAATTCATTCCTTAGAGAACCTGGTGACCGAAAGCTTGGATGATTGCTGCTCGGAGATGCCGAGAAGCGCTTGTTCGGATATGGCTTCATATGGTGAACAAAGCCAGCTCTAACGAAGTCAGGAGATGAGAGACGTCATTCCCAAGATCCTGGGGAGCGGTTCAATGGGATCAGCTTGCGGGATTACTCATTCTTATGGAAACATATGATATACATTCATAGTTTGTGGTCACCAAGAATTCATGGACCCAGCTATGGTGGGTTCTGGTCATGACTATTGGCACATACGCACCATAGCTACATAAAGAAATATATGGATGGATGTGAGTTGGAACTTGGAACATTGATCAGTTGCTACTACATCACAACAATTGTACAACGAAATACTGACTGCTCCGAGATGACAATCTGCTTCAGGCTGTCACCAGATCTACACGCCTATGTTTAAGATCCACGCGGTTTTGGAGCAGGTACAGATCCAATTGCTGACAACAATGAAGATCAAAGACCAGGCCGAATTGTTAAGCTCAACCACTTACCCTGCCACCCTCGTGCATTTCCCTAGCCCTAGCGGTCTCATGCGTGAAAGAAGAATTGCTGACACGGAAAGGTTCTCAGAACCTAGAAGCCGATCTTAGCTGCTTAAAGTGAGTTTTCCCAAGAATCCAGGAACCGTTTCCAATCGATGAAGAATCCCAAAAAACCGTTCTTGAAGAACCCAAACCCTTCTCCGTCCCAGGTAGTAGCTTCCTTGCCACTACTTATACCTCCTACTACCAGCCACCTCCCGACCCACCTCCTCGAAGAATGCAGGAGTGAGTTGACACAAAGAAGGCACAGACCGGACAAGATGAAGGTAAGACCTTCTTTAACAAAGCCCCTTAAAGGGGGGCTGTAGTAAAGGGCCCCTTAATGGCCGTTACCCTCTTTCTTTTAACTCTATTTCTTCTGGCACTTTTGGTCTGGCAGGTCGGCCAGGTCCCGGTGCTGGAGGAGACAGAGGTGACTTGGAAGTTGAGGAAGAAATGCTTGTGACATGTTCTTTTTTTCACAAGCAAGAAAGTACTGTACCCTCCTTTATCCACACTGGCCGCTGGTTTGTAGGCCAGTGACACCAGTGGCTCCTGCTAATGATATATAGACTGCAAGAAGAATCCTGCCAATGGATGCCACTCCTATCTTTTGACCGCGGGTAAGGTGGGTGATCAACGCTTTACGTTGACCTCACTTGAATCCCACATTGACGTCCAAATCCAAGAGGCCTTGGAACGAATCCAGCAATTTGAGGCAGGACCGGTGGGACCTGATCGGTGAAGTAAGCAGCTCTGAATCTTCAGCTTTACAATGAAGACACTTCGTTCCTTTGATGAGAAATCCTTGATCTCTTATAACTTATACTTTGCACCGGCTGCAACAGTTGACTTGCCAATCCTCAACCCTCGTTGTCAGGTGATCCGAAAGCCACAAGGGATGTGAGCGAAAGCCAAGGGAGCCTGAAAGTTCCCGGACAAATTGGGGTCGTCTCCCGAAGATTCCAAGACGGAATCTGAACATGGAGGTCTTTCCCCGAAATCCTCCAGAAATGGAGGTGAATAATTTTTTTTGGGTCCCAAGATCCGAAAAGTCCGGGGTTTTGTGGAGAGCTGATCCTCAGCCATGAAGACAAAGATTGATGCCAACGCTTCGGCCTTTGGCTCTGTCAGATTTCGTGGTTTTGGTGTCAAGACATATGCACATGTTCGTAGTTCACTTTTCCAGGGATGCATAATGGTGATACAAGAAACTCTGAACTGCCCCTTGAGCGTCCATAGTTCCTGCAATGGCTTCGCTCATGGCCATCACGGCCCCTTTTCCCACTCGGCCTTTGACCTCCAATACACCTCCGTGGTCGAAGCCGAAGCCGACTGACCGCCTTTCGAGGGAAAATGGCCAAATGGGGCAGCAATCCAACGTGGGAGCTGCCGGCTGTGCATTGGTTGTCGGCTTGCTCGGCAGTTTGACCAGAACTAGCCCAAAGCAACGATGTACAGCTCAGCTAATCATGACCCGTCAGAAGCAACGGTCACGGACACTTCAAATTCTCAAGGATCCCGGGTTGGGCCAGGGTAAGGATTTCAATCTTGAGAAACAGCTTATATAAATATAGGCGCAACAATCACTCCTTGTTATCACTGGAGTACAAGATGCTGGTCTTGTTCATGGGATCGGTTTGAGAAATTCCCGCAAGGATTTTCTGGGCTTTGGCGTGCTTTTGGGCAGCTTCCAAGCAGCTTGGCACATTCTGCCTGTCTTTTTGGATATCAAGATCGCAGCGGATCCATCTCTTCCGATGCTCACAGAAACCTCGCTGCCAGTTGCAAAGACGGCGATTTTTGCAGGCTGGCTTGCTGGCTCGGTGTGCTTGCGACATGCGATGAAGATCTACAGTAAAGAAGAAATTATGATTGCAAGCGCTAGTGGACTTCTTTTGGTCGCCTTGGCGACAGTGACCCTCCCTCATGTGACAGGAGGAAGCTTTGTGGCTTTCACCTTAGTGAGATTTGTTTATGGTTTGCTCATGAACATTGCAACGGTCCAGATTGTACTTCTCCAGATGCGCATGCCGGAAAAGCGCCGAAACCAAGCAGTGGCATGCAAACAGATTGGCTATAGCTTGGTTTCCATCCTCGTGGCATACGGCTGCGGTGGCCCAACCTTTGGACTTGATTGGCGCTTGGAGGCCTTGTTGTGGTATGCGTTGGCACCTTTGCTTGGCCTTTTCGTGTGTTTTCCGAATTGGTGGGCAACCCTTCGCTCTCTACCATCCATTGCGAGAGAGAAGGCACGGGCCTCCAGCCAGGTCTCTGAAGCCCATGCCAGAGTTGAAATGACTCCAGTGATGAGACGACATGAAGTTGCACTAGCAACATGCTTTTTGGCCTGCGGTTGCGCCTTTTTTGGATTGAGTTATTCTGCTTCTCAGTTGTCCCCCAACGTCTACCGTAGCTCCATACTTCTAAATTGTGCGGACATTCTGGGCTTTCTTGCAGCCATGAGTGCAGATGTCTTTGGAAGGAAGCGAGTTCAAGGCAGGGTGCAGTTTCTTTGTTGTCGTTCCCCTGCTAAGGGTCAAGAGCTTACTTAGCCTGGCCGGCCCACTCACGGGCCACTCATGGGTTGTTGACGATGTCACTTGTTTTTACAAACACATTGTATTTACTGTAGTTTAATTATCGATATCTACTGTGTTTTGCGCCAAGCCGCCAAGCCATCAAATAACAGTGTATATCTCCAAGTTTCTGGCTGCTAGAGATTAAGAAAGGGTCAGTTGCTTCATTGGTGGTTGGCGGGTTCGCACCTGGAATGCTCGTGCTGGAGAAAACATTGCCATACTTGAGCCCTATGGGGACCAACCATGTCAGAGCATGCCACCAAGATGGCCTCCAACCTAGAAGCGATGGCATCCAACCTAATAGCGATGCCCGCCACGGAGTCCTTTGGGGACCAACCAGGTCAGAGCCCATCGTTCAACTTGTCAATACCTGTCTGATGGTGCGTCCGCTAACGTCTGGAGCGTTATAGAAGATCGAGTCTTTGGCCCTGGTGGACAGGAGCATGTAGGGCACTCCTCAAGGCGAAGCCCTCAATGCTTAAAACCAAAACAGACGGCGTTGAGCCAACTGCACTGCAACCAAACGATGCGGTTCAAAACAGAACAACACCCACGTCTAGTTCTCAACCAAACATGTTTTGGTAAGTACCCTTCACACCAGGATTTTCTTTGCACAAACAAAGCCCAAGTTGACTGCATGTGTCTAACGTCTGGTGTGAAGCCCTTTTGATGAAGAGCTTGGTCACCAGTGGAGCTTAAAGGCTTAAAGCCAACAAACGCATTGTAGTTCTTAAGAAAAAGATAGACAAAGACATGCTACGCCCTTATGCTGCTTGAAAATTACTTTTTGGGTGCCTTTGACGTTAGCCATCGGGAACCAGTCGCCATTTATCACGAAAGCCAGCCGATAGGCATGGCTGAGTCCTCAATGGGCGAACGAAGTGAGTTATAGGGCTAGGGGGTGTGGGATGTATGTCTTAGGAGGTCTTGGTGATGCGAGTGATGCAAATGACGCTGAACAGTGCATCATCAGCTCCTCAGGAGACTATTTAGATTGTCTATTGACTAGGGGTGGGAGTTCGGGTAGAGCGGAAGAGAGGGGAGTGGTAGAGAGCTGGCCAGGTGTGCACTCAGAGGACAGGAGAGGCGTGTCAACCTGAGTAGAAAACAGGACAGGCGAGACTGAACGACAAGGGCACCCCACACTGAGCTGACCTGTGAGCTGACCAGGTGCGTGAGTCCAGGTAGGGGACAAGAGAGAAGAGACCAAGTGCAAGCCAAACCTCTAAGCCTTAAACCCCAATAGGGGCAGCACTCCGAATGCTCAGCCTATTGATAATAGCTGCACTTTTTAGCCCCTTACCGAAGATACGCAGTAACCCCTGAGTTAGTTGGGGTGCCCTTTTTAGCGTAAAAAAGGCCTTGAGCCAAAAGAGAAAGGGCACCCCGAAGTGTAAATGTCATACAACAGACTTCAACGTTTTTTTAGAGCATGGGTCCCAATTCTATCCTAAACCAGTAACAGTGAATGTGGGTTGATCAAGGCCTTGTGTATATAGGCCCTATCATATCGAGCCTCAATTCGAAACTTTGCGTCTCTCTCCCTTCTATTTTCCTGTGGCTGACAGCAGTAGAAGTAAGTGCAATTTGGACTTCACCCTTTCGCAACAATTATATTATTACAAAGGCTGGCTTTCATCCCCTCCCTTCTCAAGTGTCTAATCATACATTTAAGCTTAAGCAGAGGTTTAACCCTTCTTTGGGGGCGATCCCCTACCAAGTGGTGTGTTCAGTGGATCAAGTGGGTGAAGGAAGTATACAATGTGTAAATCTAGACTAGGCAACTTCAAGACCAAAGACTGCCCCCATGATCTCAAGGCGGATGCTTCCTTGTCGCGGCCATTTGCTTGTTGCTTTGTAGCGCTGGCATGCCTGGTAGCACTTTGGTGATGTCCTTTGCAGTGATTGGCCGATTGTGCTTGGACGTGAGCTTTTGCACTATTTTAGTCGCGATGGCCGACACATTCCCGGAGTCCGCGCACGAGCGGGTGCTTCCAACCTTTGCGATTGCCACCCGCGTGGGGAGCCTGATTGCTCCATTCTTGGGAACGTTGCCGGCAGCCATCTCCTGCTCAATTTTCAGCATGCTTTGCTTCGCAGCAACAGGCGCCACCATGATGTTGCCAGAGCAAAAGGTGGGAAAAAAACGAGGGTCCCTGGGCCCAAATAGCTCAGTTTCTTTTTTGCAGTTTTTGTTGTGTTTTGTTTTGTTCCTTGCTTTTTGCTCTGAACATATCCAAGGCGGAAAAAGAGATGAACAGCAACCACTGTCCTTAAAGATGGCAAGACCACTGCCTACCAAGTACAAGCGAACCATTTTGTACCTTCCCAAGGGTAGCTTGCGAATGTGGATGTGGAATCTGGCTGATCAAACTGCCATGAGCCCTTAATTGAGATGCAAGCAGTTGGGAGAGTGAGCCATCTATTTTGGAATTTGCTCTTCCAACTTTCCAAGTCTATACTGTGGGCGGCAAAGGCTAAGATGCCAGCTGCTATGAATACAATGGACAGTACAGGTTCTCTTTTGCATGCGTGAGACTCAATCGGTGAGTTTCTGTAAAAACCATCATCTTGGAAGCTTTGCCTCAACTTGCGTCGTTGCTGAAGTGCACATGGCCCTCCCCGTGACTCCTTGCAACCCAGCATTAAATGGTTGAACTTCCTATCTCTTGTCTTGATATATATATATATATATTCTCTGGCGCGCTCCCCCATCGGCAGGGGTCGGCGGATATCTAGTAGCTTCTTGTTCCTAGTAGTAATGCCAGGAGCTACCAGTAGCGCCCTTTGTTCCTAGTAGCGATGCTCTTCGCCAGCTCTATTTGTCCTTTTGCCCGCCAGATTCGCATGAGCCCGAAAGGGGCGGCCCTGAACTCGCAGGGAGCCAAAGCTTTGGAATGGCGGACTCTCGATTAAAATCGGGTAAGAAGTAGCTAGTAGAGGTAGGAAGTAGCTAGAGGGCTAGAAGTAGGTAGCAAGGTAGGTAGCTAGTAGCTTACTAGTACGCTACTAGTAACTGGATGCAGGATAGCTCACGCTTCAAGGAAGCTCTCCCACCAGTAGTAGGTTTTGCTACTAGGTGAACCGGCCATAGCTAAAGGAACATCAAAGTTCCACAGACTTCGTTATGACTGAATGGAGGATGAATGTAGTCTCTCTTGTTTCAATACTGTTGCGTGCAGGAGAGTCATGTCATAGTGGCAAATTGAGTGCTGATGAAGTCGGTTCGCTCTTTCGCATCCAAGACAACCGAGGTCCTTGCCAAACTTCAAGTCTCTCCTGGTACCTTTTGGAGGCACATGGGCTACATGTGCTGCATTTTTCTATTTCAGTGCTCCTATTTCCAGATTTCCATCAAATTAAAGTCGCCCGCGTGAAATTCCTTTGGGCATCGGCCATGGAGCCCTGTTAGATCCTCCAAGTATATATTGATTGATGCGTTCACAGCTAGCTTTTGACCTCACTGACTCTGCCACAGTTCACAACTGTTCAACTCGCACATCTATGCATAACAGTCCAGCCGCAACAAACCTGACAAACCACACATAAAAAAACAGGAATCGCAATAGATGAAACAATCCAATTTCATTGAATCGTACATAATTCGGTGAGCTGGCCTCAAGCGCTCCCGGCGCCTCTTGCCAGTGCCTGCTCTCCAGGCTTCTCAGAGGCCTCTGACCAGAAGGCCAGGCTTTTGTACTGGACGAAAGAGCAACTGCCAAGACTCAGATTCTATTTCGAGCACTGTGGGCGTCTCAGACACTTTGTTTTCCATCAGGTGGTCCAATTTCAGCCGGCATAATTGAGGGAGGGAGACATTGACCCCACAACTCCAGGGTTCTTGACACGACGGACGACTTGGTGAGACCCATGTTGAACAGTGAGCCTCAAAAAGAACAGAATGCAAACGACATTCGCATCTACGGTATATCTATGGCTATGGGAGGCCACACTCACTCAATGAAATAAATCGAGTAGATGCTGCGATGTCAAGGCATTCCTCTAGGATGTGTACATACACGCATGCATGTATCCGTGCATCCGTGCATGCATGTGTGCATGCATGCATGCATACATACGTGTGTGCATGTGTGCATGCATAGGTGCATACGCACTGACTGATATGTTTCCGCAAGGTCAAAATGTGTTCAAATCATTGAAGGCAGTTTTGCTCTCTTGCTGTTGGCCACCTGCCAATAGGCCAAAGCCAGCGCAGGGTTTGGGCCCCGGAGTAGTGGCAAGCAACAGATTCCAGCGCTGATCGGTATGGAGTGAAACCAGATTTGCAGTGCACAGTGCACAGACCAAAATTAAAATCTAAGGACAAGGATCTAAGACATTCATTTCGTCGAATCCATTTTGTATTTGTTCTGAATGTATCTGAATGTCTGAATTTGCTTTGAGTAATTTAGAGATCCCACTGTCCACAACGAGTAGTTGTGCGGAAGAAGGTCCCAAGAGTGGCAACCACCAGGCCTGGCCGAAGCATTCCACGAATGGTTGTGATCTCAGCAAAATTTTTATTGGAAAAGCTCAAATCAGGTGTTCCATAGCCTGTTTGTGCCTGACCGCTGGCCGAAGAGTAGCTAGCCTCAGCGTGGATTATGAAGCTGACACATGTGCCGGAGTGTTTGCTTCACCAAGTGCACGGGCTGAGAATGCAATTGTTGTCATCCTACAAAGACAAGCTCACAATGATTGGCCCTTGGTTAACTACAAATGCTCTCTGACTTGCAGGACGCCATCACAAAGGGAAGCGAACTTACTCAACAGAAGCACCCACAATGAGCTCACCAGAGTTCCTCCTTCCATCGTCCCCTCCTGCCTTCTCCAAGACTTCTCGGTTCAGTCAAACAAGCGAAGATCACAGACATTGACCAACCAGGTGATTGAAGGCAACAAAACCCATCCGCTCCACTTTGATTTGAGGCCTCTAGCAACCTGGTCTCTGCCTCCCCAGCTGTTTGGAGCCCAGCAAAGATGCGAAGGTCTAAACCCCTTTAGATGCCTCTGTAACAAGGGGTTGGGACCACTTCAGTGCTAGAATGGACTCGGCAAGCAAACTTCAATTGGCTCCATCTACCTTGCTTCGCATCACATACGTTCAGGCTCGGCTGCGCAACTATTTGGCATCCAAGGTGCCTGAGTTGGGGCTTGCTGAGCTTCATTTTCAAGAGATTCTAATGACTAAAAACTATTTGCACTTTTCAGCGATCAAATGAGACCGCATGAGCTGAGACGGTGTGGCCAAGGAAGACGTGTCACATGCATCCGTTCCAAGCTGCCACTCAAAAGCACCGCATCCAACCCTCAGGTGACCAGAAAACGCATGACCGTGGGTCTGAACCTCAGCCAATAACGAGGGGTTTGAAGCAAGCACCATCTCCTATTCTGTTTTTCAAACATAGATGCATTTTAGATAGTTGAGCATGATCAATACAATGCTGAAGCAGAAGCTTTGCACACAACTTTGCCGTTTGTGTCTCGTGACGTCTGGCTTGGCGGGTCTCAGGTGGGCCTTTCCGCTCTGAAAAGCCCGTGGGCTCAGAGAGTTAACTTGGGCAGATGGGCTCCAGATGGGTCCTTGGCTTATTCGGGTCCCCTATGTGGTGCACAACATGCCTCCTAGCAATGTCTAGTTCAGAGCAAACCATTTGTCAAGTCCACTTGGTTACCATCTGCAGGTTTTTGGAGCTTCGCAAACTATGGTCCAACTCGACACCTGACAGTAGGATCGGTGGATAAAGCAGTGGTGAGATGCTAGCAGCGCATTTCTTCTCAAATGCACAGCCGGTATCGACGAATTGAGAGTGGAACGGATTGATCACGTGTTTGTGCAATTTCTTCATAAGCTTTGCAAACGAATGAAGCACCCTCACAACTTGATTGACTAGCAACTGGCATTTCTGTGACTTCGAAGAATTGGCCAAGGACTTCAGGATCCACAGGCCTGTGTGAAATCACGGAAGCATTGAGCAAGCCTTTTCGGTGCTATTGATCCTTGGTTCATTGGGCTTGGATCCTCAAAAAGAGGATTGCCCAAACAGAAATTGTTGGAGCTATGCCTCCCATCCTCAGAGGATGCGAAAGTTTGTCAATTTCTGCCAGGTGAAGAAGCAGAAGGAGATTCAGGCTTTTGTCTGATTCAAACCTTATCTTGTCGTGCAGATAGTGGGAGTACTCCAGAGAGTGGCGTAACGGAACCGCACGCACGGCTGTCGCAGCGACTCGTGCGACGGAGCAAGCTGTGTGTTCGGTTCACCGATGTTGCTCTCCTCTTCAGAGGCCGAGCTGGAGTGCGGAACCCAGCACAGAAGACTGAGTTGATTCGGCTGTGAAGAAGGGGTGGAAGCAAGTAAGTAAGGTAGCTTGCCCCTCAAGAGGTAGAGGCAAGTACTAGCAAGGCAAGGAAGAAGCAATTACCAACTGGACACAGAAGGTCTCGGGTTCTTCCTTCGCATGGACGATTGGGCTTCCAAGTGTTTGACCAAACAGAAAAGGCTGTCAAGGCCTTTGGCCTTGGCCTCGACTACACGTTGCCCTTTATATAAGTCCACCGAAAGAATGACTGGATCTCTTTTGGGCAGGAAAGCTCCGGAAGCCGTGAATTGGAGGCGGGGATGCCTTTTCCAATTGTCGCTGTGGCATGAGGACCTCGACCCATCAGCTGCATATACTGCCCCACCGTTTGAAAGGCCCTCGAAGCGGTGCTGCTGGTGGAGCCCTTTGCACAGGTGGGTCGATGATGGGTTTCTTGCACCATCTCTTGTGCTACAAGAAGCCTACTCCCACGTGTGGCTCAAGCTGATTTTGTGAAGGTTTACCGGTTTTGGAGCTTTATTTTGAGTTTTGCTGCTCAAAAGGTTTTAGTTTGTATTGGACTTTGCCCAGGAAGCATAGTAGAAGGCTTTATGAGTCCTTCGCAGTAGAACCGCCTATCAATATTGATCAATACCATGTGGGAGCACAGTCTCACATTTTCTGATTGCTGGACGCATGTTGAGTCACCCACATGACATGTAGACAAAGTGACGGAGGTATCTGCTCTTGAGGACTACATCTTTGACAGGCATGTGGATCGAAATGCAGCCAAGCAGGTAGTCAGGTTGATGTTTCAAGTTTTGAACTTTTCAAACAGGTGTAAACTTCAATTAGCATGATGCACCTAGTGTGCCATACTTGCCGTTTGCAGGCATGGGCCAGGGAAAGAGAAGACAAGTGAAGGACCGTTTGTGTTCTTGTGAACTGGCACTTGTTGCTTGCAGTGTTTTTACGAAGGGCATTGGCTTTGAGAAAGGCTTTGGTTTCAGATTGAACATGGAGGGCGAACCATCTGCTACGGCATGATCCATTTGTAGAAGTTGCGGAGGAGAAGCGACTAGCAGCGAGCCAGCAGCAAGAGTAAGATTGATGCTTGGCTCACTAGATAGACGTGCCGGTCGGCCCAGCTGCGGCCATACTAGCGATGGCCTCCACCCCAAGAGCGATGGCCTCCAAACTTACAACTTTGCGACTTTTTGGGATTCTCCGTTTGAACATTCTCATGTGAGACCTTGCCTTCAGCTAATGTAGATTTCGTGTGGACCAAGAAGTGCAGTGTTGTTTTGCAGCTTTGTGTCTTTAGCTGGCGATATGCTGATATGCCGTCATGGCTGGCTGGCAAAGTTGGGCCTGAGACATTGTCTGAGGAATTGCAAACAGCCTCCTCCGCAAGCGAAGGCCAGGTTTGACTGCTTTCTTCACGTTGCCACAGACTAGAGGACAACTCCAAACTTTTCCCTGCTAGACAGAGTGCTTGTTTTTATTTTTTTTCTGTTATATATATATATATATAGTCCCTTTTGACAGATGGCTCGAACATTCACCCCGCGCCGACCATTTGAACGTTCCTGGGTCGACTGAGTCGCACAGGCTCGCTCCAAGAGTGACCTTAATGATTCTCGACCAGCGCCGTGGCTGCCATGGTGTGTGAGCGATCTGTTCAGGGGGCCGCGCTAAATCTCCGGACCCAGTTGACCCGGTTGACCCAGTTGACCCCAACAAGAAGCTACTACTACTACTACTCCTCCTCCTGCTGTTGCTGCTGCTGCTGCTGCTGGCACTACCACACTTGCCATCACACAAGAAGCCAATTGGGTCAACTGGGTTCAACTGGGTCAACTGGGTCCACCACCACTTCTAGGTTTACAGGGAAGCAATCTGTGGGGCAAATGGCTTCCCCAAAATGACCTTTAAAGCTGTTTGTATCTCCAAAGCGACCGCAGAAGATACGGACTTTTTAAACTTTCTCTTGCCCTTGCCCGCTTGGCATTTGCCCCAATTGCACCATTGGCCCTGTCCTATCTCCATTTGATGTACTTGCACAACTTGCCGAATGTCTGTATCTCCTGGGTGTCCATAGAAGATACGGACTTCTAAGCCCTCTCTCTCTCTCTCTGCTCGCCCTACATGCCCTGCACCCGGAACACTGCACATCCCAGCAGTCAACTGGGTCAACTGGATCAACTGGGTTCAATCGGGTCAACTGGATCAACCGGGACACCCTGTTCAACCGGGTCAACCGGATCAACTGGGGCCACAGAATTTGTATTCAAGCCTTCTCCTACCAATGCGTGCCAAGCTTTTGCATGGCAGAGCCAGAAGGCTTGCTATAAGAACTGCATTTCTTGAAAAAGACGTCGTCAGCAGATTTGAATGGATGCTGTGAAAGGAACCAGCTGGAGCCTATTCACCGCCCGCTGTGCCTTTGGATCCTCCAGCCAACCCACCACCCTTGCAGGCTGGGCCAAATTCCTCATCAATCTTTTGTTTGAATGGACTTGGCTTGCATGGACTCTTTGTTCTCCCGTCAAGTCCCTTGCGTGCAGAGTGATGAATTGCATATTGCATTTCGAAGTGGTCTCATGTCCTGCAGGGTTCCGGTTCGGGGACTCCAGCCAGCGTTGGGGTGCCCTGGTGGGTGGCAGCAGGAATGGTGTGAATCAGATTCGTAGACACTGCCCCAGACAAACACAGCCCCTCCGAAGACAAGGGGGGCGTGTTCTGGGAGATTGGTGTGACAAGTGAATGTCAGAGTCGAAGAGCTCTTCCTTAGATCCTCCAGAGTAGCTTTAGAGTTGAGAGCTCGGCAAGAAATCCTAAATGAAAGCGGTGGGTTCAGGAAGCTTCGCTGCCATACGTGAGGCCTCGCAGATGGAGAAGCCAGAGCCGGATGCCTGAGATTTTATTCTCCTTTCCAATCTGTGCTTTCAGCGTCATGAGCACCAACCATGTGCTATGGCCTCATTTTCAGAAGCTCCAAGCTAGAAACGATCCAAAGGGGTAGGGGTTTTGGTGGTGATCTAGTTTAGAGCAGGTTTCTTTCCGGTCAGCAAGAGTTTTGCTTTCCAGATCTGAGCGAGTTAAACACAGCATTGCATAGTGCTTTCAACAGTTGACATTCCCCAAGCAGGTCTTGCAAAGGTCTGTGGGCTACCTTCTTCTTGTACTGTAGCACTCAGGCGACGGAAGCAGACGGTGCGGATCTGAATGTAAGCAGTGACCAGGTGCATTGATCACGCTCCACTGGACCATGTTGTTCAGACAGTGTCAGTTGGATATGGACGTCAGTTCTTAGTCGCAGCGTGGCCAGGCAAAAGATGCTTGTCCTGACATGATTTTGGGCCGTGACACAGTGATTTAGGTGAACGTTTTCTACAACGGTCATCAGCTCACTACTAAAGAAAGCGTGCAGAGCTCAGCCAGCTTTGCCTGTCAACCGATTTTGGTGCTGCAAGCTGCAAGCTTCTTGCGGGTATACGATGCGCATTATTTGTGCCCAAGCAAAATTTGGACAGCGAATTCAGTATCCCACTTACATAGCATAAGTACAACATGATATATATATATATATACATATAATACTATACTATATTAATGTTGTATTGTATTGTATTATATCATATTATACTATACTATATATTATATATATTATAGTGCTATAATATATATATATATTTTTAATTTGTTATTTGACATACAAAGGACCTGGGAGTCTGGGAAGCCGTAAGACTTGAAGCTGGGCTTTCAAGGTGGTCCAAGTCTTGGTGCACAATGCCAAGAAATCGACTGGAGAGGCCAGGCTCAAGCACTTAGTCGTGCGGCCCACGAGACAGCCGTAGTAAACTCACCAAAGAACCACTAGACATAGGCGCTAGACAAGCCTCAGGGATCTGGAGATACCGGAGATACTGGATTTGCTGAGTGGTTCGTCCATGGTCCAAATATCAGAATATTTCCGTGCATCCATCTGCTCTTTGTGCGCAGGAGCTGACGAGGTCAACCAGACGCTCCAGGTGCAGCACGGAGTAGTTGCACACAGCTCTGCGAAGTGCCCGTAGCAAGCAAGCAAGTCACCTTTTCATCAAATAGATCAAAGTCGTTCCCCAAGTAATTAAAGTTCAAGCAAGCAACCATTCGAATTAGAATGTTATTTTTTTCATTGATGTTGCGTGCAGTTGTATGTGGAGTTGTGGCAGTGCTTGTTCGCCCTTCCTCAATCTTGATCCTCCTGATGATGTCAGGAGAACAATTGGCGGTCGCTTCCTTGCATCCATGGAGGACAGATTTCATACATGCACACTGATTGAGACATCCAGGTGTTTGAGTCGCACCTCCAAAACTGCTTTTGGCAGTCCGTCGCCCAACTTCTCACCAAGACTAAGTGGCTGTCCATGTGCTCGATCAACCAAGTGCATCAAAGTCCCAGAGAGCCAGGAAAGCTCAAGCTCTGGAGAAGGCAAGAGTGGGTAGGGATGGTTGTTGGGCCGAATGGACTTGCTGTGACACGGAGAGTGTGAACCGCTTTGCCATTTCTTCTCAACTGGACGCTTTAGGCGGGACTCTTGAACCGAAGCCATGAACTGTTCGTTCCGGAGAAGTCAGTTGAAACTAGTTGCTGCACTCTGTGTGTTAGAACACCGTCCTTTGAACAGGGTGTACATACAATGCGGCGAGGTCACAGACACAACATCCTCATTCACTTTATAAATCTCTTTATCCAATCATGAAAACGTGTTTCCTGTCTGTGAACACAAAAGCAAACAAAGACTGCACACAGCGCAGATTCTTCGATTCGGCGAAAGACACAAGCAAAGACCTCAGGAAGTTCGTTTCCATCAGGGGCGGCACATGGCATTTTTTTCGAAGAAAAGATGTCTTGAACAGCTTGGAAGGGATTTGAGATTATTTGGGATCGAATCCTTTGTCTGAGGCACAGAACTTTTTCTGTGGCAACATTTGGGGCAGAGCGTGGAGCTTGGAGGGCTTAATTTTGATTCCACCTTTCTCGGAGGGCATTCATGGTCTTCGCCGGGGTTGGGCATGCATGCCATCATGGGTCTTTCGCTTGTGGATTGAGAGGGAGAGTACTGTTTGGGGTCCTGCGATTTAGAGATTCATCCTGACCAGTGCCAAGGTACATCACATGACCTTCGAGCTCATTCCTGATGCTACTTCCCCACGTGAAGGCGATGCCAAGCAACAAGAGGACTGCCTTGTTTTTATTTTTTTTTGAGTTTTTGGAGGCTCAATGGCGGTACAACGAGCATGGCTTTTTGAGATTCGACGTTTGGCACGTAGCAGAGTGTTGGCGCCCTCAATCCTGGACTCGGTTACATTGGAAAGGTTTCTGGCTGAAGATGTCGTTCCTCCTTCAAAGCAACATATATATATATATACATGTATTGTGAAAGGCCAAAGGGAGGTTTGTATACGAGAGAAGTCCTTGTGCATTTGCGGATCAGGAGCCATCAGTTGAGCCACCCGTGATGATTGTCTCATCTGACATGGACTGGCTCGCCACTGGTCTGAGCTACGAAACAAACGGTCTGAACCACATGCTTGACCAAACCCTTCAAGCAGACACAATTTTTCAAGCCCTGCCATACACGTTGCAAGACACTCTGAGCGAGAATGACAGGCCAATCGCAGTTCTAGACATCGTGGGTATTTACACTAGACAACATGAGGGCCATGAGGCAAGCCGGACACTTCGTGCACGCCAGCGGCACTGATAATGAAGGCCATTCTTATCATGGGAAACCTATAGCCTACGCGACAAGTTGCGATCAACATTTAATCTAATGCAATCTATGCCACTTGCACTCGCTGGTCCTTCAGAGCTTTCTCAGGTCCAGTGCCACCTGCGCATTTTGCCAACCATCGGGGGCATCTATGGCGCAGGCCAAGACTCGACAGAGACACCCGGCAGGCAGACACGACGTTCGTATGAGAAACTTGAATAGTGTTCAGACCATGGACACTTGACTAAAGGTTCAATTGATCGCATATCTACTTGTAGCAAAACAGTGCACAAACAGAAACTGCCGCAGGTTCTAAGCATGGCGATGGTGCCAGGGGCTAACTTCAAAGCTGTGCTGCTTCATGAGCTCAATATGATTTTGTCGATGCTGATACCGAATGAACGCGTGGCACCGGCTTTAGAACTTCACTGTATCTTGATAGGCTCTTCGTGCATCATGGCCTTGAAGACACTTTGTATCAAAGTGCTGGGCAAGTGCAGTTCATTCAGTGCCACAATCAATCTGACAAGACCCAACAGCACAAACCTCTGGATTCTCCAGCTCAATGTCCATGGCGCAGCCGGTGATCTTCCTCGATGTTGATGGAGTCCTGCACCCGGGCACATACGAAGCTCACAGATGTCAGGCCTCAACCTGCAAACCTCATGTTGCACAAGCGTGACGTCTCAAACATATCAAGACTTTGTTGTCGCTCTTCAAGTTATTGTGATGCTTTTTCTTTTGCATACTTGTCTTCAGCACGTAGTCAGCGGCACTCTAGTGACCAGCGGCGCAGTTTGACCATGAGAATGAGCCTCAAACCTTCATTGTTCAAGCTCCAATGGCGTCGTTCCAGGATCTCTTCCGATCTCAATGCCTCACGGAGCTTCGCAGAATCATTGATGCGACAAATGTCACTCGACTCTCCACGAACACACGGTGGCCACACCATGGTTGTGTTTGAAACCCCTGTAACTACCGGTGACTGACGGCGCAAAACAGTCACCTGTGAGGCGATTCTGGTGCTATCCTCTTCCTGGAGGGAATCTCCTGGTGCTTGTCGACGCTTGAAGAAGGTCTTGGAGGAGCATGGGATGTCCCTCTTCGGATCAACTGAGGTCAGTGGCTGCCCAGGGCTTCGTGGCCGAGGTGGGGAGACAGGATCGGATCATCTCGCTCTATCGTGCAAACAAACAAACTATATATATATATATAGATAAGTGGAGGAGAGTGAGTAGCAAGCTGGGAGGTTCAAGCCAATCTGAACTGCAGTTTTGAACTTTACCCAGAGCAAGCCTTGGAGGCGTACTAGAACCATGGCAGAAAACCAGTAGTTTGTCTTGTCAAGTGGCAGTGCAGTGGCCCCAGGATCTGTGTAAGGCAAGACTTTCCCATGCATTACATAGCGCCTGCATGCGCCTGCAACGCATGTCCCTATAATAAACGCACCGATACACCAAGGGTTTAGGGATGTTTAGGGTATCGACTGGCGTATCGTCGTGATGGCGTAGAACGCCATGCATCCAACACCAAACGGCGGAACGGCGGAATGGCATACTCACACTTCAGGACCAGGGGACAGTTTGCAAGCACGCTTGTGCAACTTGCCCTTCACACGCAAATTTCAAATGCCTTTTAAGGACAAGCGAAATGATACCTGAACAAAATCCCAACATGCACCTAATGCAATTTTGCGGTGAATGGTAGACTAGGCTAAAGCCGAGCCCCAAACCAAAGGGGTGATACACGCTGCAAAAACACATTTGGCTCCCAAACATGCCACCTCGAATTGCCAATCCGTAGCGCAAGCGAGTTCTTTTTAACGCCACTCCTAGGTCGCAATTGGTTTACCCACTTGTGATCGGTCAGAAGATCATGGCAACTAACAACCTTGAGAATAATATAATAGAATGGTGTTCACATTGTTGCAACCCAGCCAAAGTCCCACTTAGACAATCTCATGCTGAAGTCGTTTCTCTTAGCAACTTCGCTGCTTTGACAGGTTTGGAGATCAACCGCTGGCTGCGGAGCCATGCGCAACATGTGCAGATACCCTATTGGTTGGCCCTCGACGACTTGGACCTGGCGAAGGAAGGAGGCTACTTGGACAAAATGCGCAAGCAAATCATCACGCTGTCACAGGACCATAAGCAACGAGACGTCTCCCGCTTTTTAGGAGGTTGCTCATCGCTAAGTGGCAGGTCATTAGTCGATTCAGAAACCAACCGATCAGGCAACTACGATTCAGAAACCAAAACAGCCGATTCAGAAACTACGATTCAGAAACCAAAATGGCCGATTCAGCAACTACGATTCAGAAACCAAAACAGTGCGATTCAGAAACCAAATGGTCCGATTCAGGAACCAAATGAGCCGATTCAAAAACCAAACGAACCGATTCAGAAACCAAGTAAGTCCCGATTCAGAAACCAAAACAGCCGATTCAGAAACCAAGTCGGCCGATTCAGAAACCAAACCAGGCGATTCAGCAACTACGATTCAGAAACCAAAAGAGCCGATTCAGCAACCAAAAGAGCCGATTCAGAAACCAAAACAGCCGATTCAGAAACCAAAACGGCCGATTCAGAAACCAAAACAGTCGATTCAGAAACCAAGTTAGACTGTTCAGAAACTAAGCCAAGATAATAGCGTTCCATGTGGATGCAAAGGGCGTTTACATTCAGTCAAGTAAGAAGTAGTGGTGGACGGCAGGAGGAGTGTGGGGTGGGGGGGGGGGGGGGGGGGTGGGGAACTTTTAGACCAATGTGCCGCCAGGGCTCCTTAGCATACTTTTCATGCAAAACCATAAGACTCCCACAAACGACCAGCAAAGCAAATCGACCTAACAAAAAAGTAATTTGCACGAAACCATGACACACACAAAGCAAAACAATACTTTATACTTTTTAACCATCATCAAAAAGTACATACAGACGCAAACTTGTGATTTTTTACCTTGAAATGTTAAAGTAAAAAACCACAAGTTTTGTAAAAGAACCTGGATAAAAAGGACAACATAGAACCAGACTCATCCTTACCAGAGCACTCCCTGAAGGAAAAGGACATAGAAATCCTTTCTGCTAAATGGATACCGCTTCGTTTGATGTATGTTTTTAAGCTGGTGACCTGGATTACCTGAACTTTGGATTACCTGAAACTTCACAATATGTTACAAACAGGCGATTTGTAAACTATTTTAGTAGCAGCACAAACGTATTTAATGCGAATGCGGGGGCGAAAAACATCAGGTTTTACATTTCAGGAGAGGATAATACCTATTTGGATTTGAGTTCAGTAAGGTTGTTTGCAACTTTGCAAAATAACGATCGAACAAGACACCATTTCTTACGTCCATTAGGAGGCTTACATGCCTTTATTCAACGATACAGAGCAACAGTAGGAGGTCAAATGGATCGAAATATTGTTGAATACAAGAGACACTGTGAGTTGTATGTTAGAGACATGGATGACATAGAGATGTCAGCTAACCCAAGATGGGACGCTGACTTTCATGACTATGCTAATGGTTTGGATGTATTATTGCAGGCTACTACTGCTGGTGTTACTCCAACCCCCGGTGTAGTAACTGTATCCCCTGACGGTGTTAAAAATGAATGGGGTAGAATAGATAAAAGATACAGTATACAAGACACTCATTGACAGGAATTCCCGGCGCTAATGGTAAAGCCCGATTCAGCCATAAGCCTGTTTGCGGGTTGATGCAATCAAACTATTATTTACCTTTGAGGTATGCGCCTTTGGAATTAGAATTCACAATTGTTAATGATGAATTGGTACCTATTGTAGAACCACAAGGAGGCGCAGTAGGAAACCCGAACACTCAAACTGACAAACAGGGGTATTACTTTCAAGCAGCTAACACTTCTACACAGTGGGAATTAAACAATGTTATTATCAGAGCTGAAGTAATGACTTTAGACAACACTGTTAATAACAACATAGTAAAACATTTGTTGGACGGTCAGTCACTAAAACTGGTCTTTCCTATGTATCACACACTGACACAAACCTTCAACACAGGAGGCGGTGATCTGGATATGAACATTGTCAAGTCATCATTCAAACTCACGGGAGCATTCATTACTTTATACAGAACACCAAGAAATGGAACTATCAATGCTAACTATTTACCAGACAACTATGTTCATAAGCGATGGAACTACTTTTACAATTCTCAAATTAACTCATTCATCTGGGACAATGCAGCAGTAGCAAATCCTCAAGACCAAGGCAAAGGTTTCCAAGACTATGGTAGAAACTTATAGTGGCAAATCCAGTTAGGCAACAAAACGTATCCAGAGTTTGAGGCACAATCATTATCATGCAGAAACCTTCTACTATTTGCGAAGAGCCATACATTACATGAACCCGGACCAAGATGCATTGAGTTTCAGTTACAGGCAATACAGAGAAAACACATTTATTATTGGTATGTCATGAAAAGATGGCTGACGTCAACTTTACTGGAGTTAACACAAAAATGGGCAGTTTAATCACTATGAAAATCCGCCCTACTGAAGGAACTCTAAACACTACACCCGGTGATAGCACTAACGCAATTTATGCTGAAGACATTCAAGAGGTTTTTACCCACCTTATTAGTGCAAGCGTGTTAGAAATTTGCGAACGCGGGTCTGTGGTATACGATTAAAAAAATAAGTCTAAATTATTAATATATTTGTCTAAAACAAAATATATTAATAATGTTTAAGTATCATAAACACAACAACAAAACAGGCACTAAAGCACATCTTCACAAATCATTAATAAGTTTTAGTCCATTTGATATGAGAGATACAAGTTATCTGGAGCATTTACACAAGGAACTTAAGTTAAGAAATGCAACAGAGGGCATGGTAGCATTAAGAAAGGACATGATATAAGCAAATGCTAGGTCAAACTATCAAAATGAACTGGACAGGTTGAGAGGTGAAGTCCAAAGAGACAACCTACCGCACAACACAAAAGAACACAGCATTAAGCAACCTAAAGGCCTATTTTTTGCATAAATATATTAACATGTTTACCTAAAATATTAATATATGGCAACTATGGCATTGGAAATGATAAATCCTTATTCAAAATATGAATTGAAGAGGCGACCAACATATGATGAAATAGCAGGGTTGATAGGAGAAAATGAAAAATTAACTGGAAGCCTTCCAGACAGAAGGGCTACATTGTTTAAAGCAAGTCCTGGCATTTGAAGTATTGAAGGAACAACAAAACAGAATACAAGAGAGACAGATGAGATAACTATTATTGAGACACAATTTAAGAGGTGGAACAGTTCATGTTGAAAGGATGAGGCAACAGAGTAGAGACACAACCCCAATAGAAGCAGAGACGCCAAGAGATGACAATGTTAATAATGCATCCATTCAAGCACAACTACAAGAAAGAGCCAGAATGGCACAGGAGAGAGAACAACAAGGACAAGCACACCAAAGTCTATTAAGTAGAAGCGCCACACCTGTTATTGATATGATATTTGGTGGATTGAGTAGAACAAGTAGCAGAGTAGGAACGCCAATGGCTCCACCGGTGCCACAATTAGCAATTGACTTCACACAAGACAACCCACAAGCAGAAGATGAAGTAGAAATGATGACAGCAAGAGAAGAACGCGAAGCCCCTGAACCCAAACAAGCAGTATTAAGAACCATTAGCTATAGATTAAATGTAGGAACTATGAGCGCAGAAGCATTGAAATTTCAATTGTTTTTGAGAGGCTTTGATGTAGATGACCCAGAGAATGAACTACCAACAAGAGCAAAAGGCAAAGGAGGAGGCAAAACAACAAAGCAATATTATGTAGATGTTGATATGATGCAAACCGGTGTATGGGAAAGAATAATTGAATCAGAACTATTGAAAAGCAAAATTAAAGAATACAGAAACAGACACAGCGCAAGGGGAAGTGAAATGGCATAATTAAGAATAAAATCTAATTATTATTAATCATGATTTTAGTAAAGAATAGACTGAAGAAACACATATAATGGATGATGATGAACACTTACATTATTTTTAAATAAGCCAACAGAAAGAAGAGAACGAAGTAATGAGATAGAATCTGAAGATGAGGCAACACAATTCCCAGAGATAGAGAACAAACAAACGCAAACCGAGAAGAAAATTACGTTTGACAAAGAGACTGAAACAGGAGATGAATTAAACCGGATAATAGGAAACTATATTGTGAAGATGAGTTCAAAGAACTTCAAAAGTTTAGAGCCATCAAGAAGTGATAAGATGGTAGAAGCTTTTACAAAAATGATTGAAAACCCTAGCAGTAGTAGCAGTGACAGTGAAGGCAATAGGTGATGTTTCAAAAGACATAGAGGGAAATTAAAGATGGGTTTTAGATTGGCAGAAGTAGCAGGAAATACAGCTATGATGGGTGGCAGTGCTTTATTGTCAGCGATTGATTATTTGACACAAGCAGGGGAAAATGACAATGATAATGAAGAGGAAGTTATAAGCGTGCATTCTTCACCTGCAGTGAGTGTCCATAGTTCTCCACCACATTCAGTAGTAAATGTTTCATCAAGCAGTTCATCACACAATCCACCCATGGTGGCACATCCAACAGATTTACCAATACCTACATCATCAAGCTCATCAAGTTGAAGAAGTAGTGGCGCTGCTGCTTCTGGTTCAGCATATCCAACAAATAAAAATAACAAATAAGTTAATATTTTTTAATAGTAACATCATTTTGGAACCACCATCAGTATTTGCATCGTTTCACTGTTGGTGACAGGTATCCTTTTTGGAACACCCAGTTCTTCTCTCTTCTTTTGTTGTCTGAGGCGGTCTCTGTCCCTCAACTTTTGTGCATATTCAGGGTCTTCTCTTCTCCTTTTCTTTTGGTAAAGCGCCTGAAAGATTGACATCTGCACTTTAATTTCATCCAGTGTTAGGTCCGGTCTTCAATGTTTAATTGAGTAGTCATTATATCTTAATATATATAGTTAATATGTCTTTATATATATATATATTATATTTAAACGATACTAAATAATATATAGTTTATAACATTACATGGTTTTTGTTTTAAAGCTTTAAACTTAT